GGGCATGATGACATTAGAAATTATATATAAAAAACCCAACCTAAAATTGCTCGACACATATATTTCCCTTACCATTAGCCCTTTGATCATTCTCAGCATCGGCAAATAGATCCCTAACATTTTTTTCAGTTTCACCAACAAACTTGCTCAAGACTTCAGGGCCATTAACAATCTAGTACAGTTCATCAAAGATAACAATCAGTCCATAAATCACCAACGTAGAAATTAACTAAGGATAAGCTGCATTTCAGAAATCATTCAGACATGCTCAGATAACTTTATAACCTTAAGACAATGTAGTTGCATCAAAATAACGTGTTAAATCACGATTCAGCATGGTTCCACATTTACAGCTGGCAGAGCTTAATCAACTCATTACCTTAGCATGTTAAGAAGAATGAGTATCTTGTTCTTAGTTTCATCTGAGTTTCCTGTGTCCTCAATTGGTAATCTTCTTTGAAATTATAGTTGAAACTTTGTTGGAAACGAAAAGTAACCATTCAAACATTCATAAGTTCTCAACTGCCCCTAGCAAATCTTAGAAATTTAATAAAATAAATGGATCCATCTTCAAACCTTTGGTTCTTTCCCATTCAACATCTTTCCAATTTGACGAGCCATGAGAGTTTTTCCAGTTCCAGGTGGCCCATAAAGCAGCATACCCTTTACATGCTTGATCCCTAATCTGGAACATCAAAGTCTTTCCAATTAGGAGTATAGTATACAGGTAGACCAAAAGGATATCAATACAGGTAGAAAAATCAGTTATCTTACTTATTTGTCACGTGTGGAGGGAATACACGGGAGGCAAAAGCTCTTCGAAATATGTCTGCAAACTCGTCACCTAAGCCACCAATTCCAAGAGTTTGAAGATTAAATTCTTTATGCCTGAATATGCTGCTACTTGCAGCTTCACGCTGATTTACGATCTGGAAAACACAAGTCAGTATATCAAATTTCAAAACATTATTCGATATTGTTTACTACTCAAAGTGATATTGAGTATTTTCTGTTGTACACAGCCATCATATGAAATTGAGCACAACTCTGATTGAAATAGGATATGCAGGTGATCAAAGGTGCAAGTGCAAAACTGATTCATCATTGGGAGACCTTCACAACCATGTACCTAGTGCGTTCAACCAATCTAGGATACGATTAATTTATTCTTATTGTGTTTTCCATGACGTAAATCAGCGTTCAACCAATCTAAGTTTTGTTTACAATAAGAATAAAACCTATAATGGCAACCATTACAAACTACAAGAAGTAATTTTTTTTTCTAAACATATAAATAAAAATATATGTAGCCAGCCAAGACAAATATACAAAAATGTAACATAACTGCCCTTTCCACTATTTAAAGTTATTGAGGCTTGACATCATTTCACAAATTACAGGAAAATTTAAAGATAGATAGCTCACCTTTATACCACTTGCTTTTGATGTCTCGAAGATGATGTATGTGTCATTCACAATCATTCCTCTTTCTATACCATTAGAGGTTTCTTGTCCCTCTACAGCAGCTTGATTAACAGTGAAAATGTAATTAATCCCCTGAAACTCAAATGATACTCTTTGTCCACCCGTCATAACCTGCACATAAAAAGGCCCAATGTTCCAGTTGAATCCCAACCCCAGACGATATAAAACAAGGATGAAGAACAAGTAACCAAAGTAGAATGTAGAAGCTACCTGGTTCATAAACTTCTTTTTAAGTTGGTTTGACAAGAGAACAGCATCAACCTACAAAACAATCCGAAATTCTTCAAATCCATAATTCTTTGGATGGCATTTGCATTTGTATAAAAATAGAGAAGAAGAATGTGAAAATGGAAATCCATATGCATATACCTGTTCACTTTTAGTCCCTTTTTTCACAAACTCCAAATCTAGCGTGAGCAGCGCCAGGTTGAAATCCTCAGGCGGAACAAACCTAAAATAGGATTTCCATAATGCAATTAGAAACTGAAAAACGATCGAACCTCAGCTCCGAGCCAGATTGATTGAGTGCCTGACTAACCTGCTCACAGACACTGAATCGCCGGTGGACACCTTAGCATGCCGCCGTTGGATTGCGTTCAGCGCAATGTGACCCTTTTGTATGCTTTGATGAGGAGTTTCTTTCAGTTAAGCAAATCAAAAAAACCCGAACAAGAACACAACACCGAATGAAATGTGATCAAGTAATGACGGATTTCTGTGAAAATTCGATAATTAGATGCGGAGAACGTAAATATAATCAGAAACAGTAATAATGAAAAGGATATGAGACAGTTAGGACGAAGGCGTCGCCGACGGAAGCCAGATTGAGCCTGGTGCCGGGGATGGCGAAGTTTTGAAGATCGGTGGGCGAGCAGTAGGCCAGATTGGTCAAAGCCAGATCTGCAGCCGGGGTGTTGGTGACTATCATCGTGGTCGCGGGAGCAGAGGATGAGAACCCGAACCGGCCGGCCATTTTAGATCAAAGGCGGAGGAGATCTGGTTGGAGGTTTCTGGTTCCTTTGGTTGTAAGAAATGGAGACGACGAAGGTTCTTTTTTCTTTTCAATTTTGTGATTTTGGTGCCCCAAATAAAAGCCCAAAAGAATCGTTGAAGGCCTTACACAGCCCAAAAGAACCATATATATGCGAAAAATAACTTTATCAATAATATATAAATATAAACAAATGTCAATAAGAATACGAGTTGAATGACACATGTGAACCAATTGTGTGCCTTCAAGAAAACCAAGCATTGTCAGCACAATCAAAACATAAACTACAATTTCACAAATACAATTTCACAAAGAGGCATTACACCTCAAACTCGTAAAATAACTTATTTACTTTCTTCCTATGCTCGAACTGAATCCTAAAGAATAAATGCAACATAATGCTACAAACATAAAATTAAAACAAAAGCAACATAAATATTTTAATATTTAACTAGAGACACAAGTTTGTAACTCAAATTATTAAGAGCATTTATCCCTACACATAGTGATACTGACCCTGAGATTTTAAGGGCCATGTGCGAACTTAAGCTCGAACCCTTACACAATCTAGTACGAAAATACTCAAAAAATTTATATTTTTTCGTGACTTAATGCCATAAAATAATTTGTTCATAACTAAAATTCATCATTAATTGGCATGCAATATAAATCATAAATCAAATTCATAAAAGTTTTAATGTTTCAAGTTGATAAAAATTAAAAATTAATATGTTCAGTACAAAAATAAGCTCTATCATGAGCTCCTCCTTGAGATTGAGTCAATTGCTCAATTTTATCCTTTTTATAATCGTTTTGTATAACCCAGAGTCAATTGTGCTCTTGATTATATATAGGATATCTATAATTTTAATATATAATATACAAATAAAAAAATTTGGGGCTTTGTGCTGTGGCGCTACTTGTACCAACCCAGTGGCACCCCTGTCTAAACCTAAGGTCATAACCCCACCTAGTGTTTAGAGGCCCACGTGTCAAAAACAGTATAACTGGGAGGCTAGACAATTTTTTAAAATAAACATAAAAACTGCGTATAGTCGAGCGGCTATACTAGTTTTCAAAAAATTAAAATAAAAAAAACAGAGTATAGCCGATTGGCTATACTATTTATAAAAACACAAACAAAAGACCCCCCTATTTATGAGGCGTCCACGTATCAAAACGTATAGCTGCGCAGCTATACTATTTAAAAAAAAAGGAGACTTTGGAAAAACACAAAGGAGAGAGAAATTTTGTAAAAGAAGCCAAAATGGACAAAATTGCCCTTATTTATTTTTGGATTTCCTAAAGAATCCTTTACATTTGTATGTCTTTGATTTGAAAGTTAAAAGGTTTTTCTGTCTTTTTTGAAAAAGCTTTGACTTTTTCCAAAAGTGAAAATTTTTTTTGGCTAAAACCTAATTTTCCTTTAAAAAAAACAAAAAAAAACCAGAGTATAGTCACTGGCTATACTAGTTATTAAAATAAACTTAAAAACAGGAGTATAGCCGGGCGGCCATACTATTTAAAAAATAAAACAAAAAACAAAAAAGCCCCGTACAGCCGTGCGGCTATACTATTTTGTTAAAAATGATAAAAACCGCGTATAGCCGACTGGCTATACTATTTATAATATAAAAAAGACCAATCTAACGATTAGGGGCCCACATTCAAAACAGTATCGCCGTTCGGCTATAATATTTTCAAAATAAACAAAAAAACCAAGCATTGCCGCCCTGCAATACAATTTTAAAAATATATATATATAAAAAGATGATATAGCCATGCGGCTATACTATTTATAAGAACAAAAATATCCGCCTAGGTATTAGGTGTCCACGTGTCAAAACATTATCGCCGCACGGTTATACTGTTTATTAAAAAGATTTAAACAAAAAAAAGCCCAGTAAAGCCGTCCGGTATACTATTTTTTAAAAACATTTGAAAAAACTGTGTATGGCCGCCCGGCTATACTATTTATATACATAAAATACCTGCCAATCTATTTGGGGCCCACGTGTCCCATACAGTATAGCCGTCCGGCTATACTATTTTTAAAACAAACAAAAAAACCGAGTATGGCCGCGTGGCGATACTATTTTTCAGAAAAAAAAATTGAGTATAGCCGTTCGGCGAGACTATTCTTTAAAAAGAAAGAAGGGTGCGCCCAGCTGCGTGTCAAAAAAGTGTAGCCGGCCGGCTATACTATTTTATAAAAAACCGGAGTGTAGCCGCCCGGCGATACTGTTTTCTTTTAATTTTAAAACTCGTTGGAAAACCCGAGACTAGATATAAACATAATGGGTTGACTGCAAAAAAGACATAAACATAATGGTGGAACCGTAATTTATCAACTAACCGACAATAAACAAAGCCGCGAGATTCCGAATGGCCAACCGAAAGATCGGCCACCTAAAAACCTCAAACGGAACCAAAAGCTAAAACCCTAGCCCCAGCTGAAGGCTGAAGCGAGCTCAAAACCCCCAAAATTCAAAAACCAAGGCCAACAACATATCGTCACATAAGGATGTTCATGGCGAACCGACGGCGCCTCCAAGTTCTGACCCGCCACGCCTCAGCCCTCTTCTCCACAAACACTACATTCCAGTCCCTCCAAACTCCACCTCCCCTCCCCATCTATCAACCCCTCAAAACCCTCACCTCCAAATTTCCTCTCATTTTCACCAACCCCGATCCCAATTGGTCGCAAACCCGCCATTTCTCGTCGAGCCGAGTCGGAGATGTGAATGAAGACAATGAGCATAGTGAAGAAGAAGATGATGATGACGACGATGACGATTATGATGATGATGATGAAGCAGTTGGGGACAGTGAGGACGATAGTGTTTCTGGGTGTGGCTCGAAAAGGGAGTATACTGCGGAGGAGAAAGAGGCGGAGGCCGCCGCTATTGGGTACCAAGTGATTGGGCCTCTTCAGAAATCTGATCGGGTTTTCAAACCGTATGAGCCGGTTTTCGCTGTGGTTCAGGTTCGTGTCGGTTTCACTTTATCTTTTGCCATCAATGAGACTGTTAAAATGGTGAAATGGGTTTTGGTTAATGTGATATTTTATTGTACTTGTAGATTGGTTCGCATCAGTTCAAGGTTAGCAATGGGGACTGCATTTTCACTGAAAGATTGAAGTTCTGTGAAGTGAATGATAAGGTAGGTACAGATTTATTGTTTCCCATTGTGTTTTTCTGCATTTACCCAAACAAATGAATGTCAGTATTTCATATTCTCGGAAATTGAAATCACAAGTTCATTCTGATATCTTGTAACTGTACAATGTACTGGTGTTATATTCATAGGAAGTAGGGAGATTGAATTTCTAGTTATTCCCCTTTTGTTATTGACCCTTACCTTCCTATACGGCATTGCATTATTATGAAACCTGTGATACCAATTTCCTTGTAAGGTACGTCTCAGACATTTATCCGGCAATGCTTGTAGTGTAGTATGGAAGCCAAACTAGTGAACTTACTTTCCTCTAATATTTTGTTTCTGCTTCTTCTGGCTTGTTTTGTAATAGCTCTTTTGATGTCTGTTTCAGAACTTAGATAAGTAGATGAAACAAAGGCTTTTTTTTTTCTTTTTTCTGGGGAGTTTGATGATTTTGCCTAGTTGTCAGACTATATGAGATCAAATTGTTGTATCACTTCGTATTTTCTTGTGGATTTATTTTTTCTAATTTTATATATGAACTCAATTATTTAATGGTTCAAATGCTTGTCTGTTACAGTTAATATTGAACAAGGTTCTCTTGCTGGGCTCAAGTAGTCAGACAATAATCGGTAGGCCCCTACTACCAGATGCAGCAGTTCATGCAGTTGTTGAGGAGCACGTAAGTGTGACACCATTGTTTCTTTCTTCTTACTATGTGCGCGTGAGTGAGTAGGTACAACCTGTGTCTTTCTTGGCATTACCAATGTGGATTAGAGAACAGGTTCTCTCATATCTTTTGTGGTTTAATTTTTTTTCTTGAGAGGATTTTCCTCGGGAAAGAAAAAAAGCTAGAGTAAAGAGTGTGCTTCAGATTTCTTTTTTCTTATTTGTTTTTTTTTCCCCTTCACCTCAGGCATTAGATGCAAAGGTAATTATTTTTAAGAAAAAGAGAAGGAAGAATTACCGTCGAACCAAAGGACATCGCCAGGTATGTTTAGAAATCCCTTGTCTAAACATTCATAATGTGTTTGTCTTAGTACATTGATTATCGTTTTACTTGGAATTTTTTCAGGAATTGACGAAGTTGAGGATAGTTGATGTTCAAGGGATTGAGAAACCAGAAGTCCCTGAAAAGCCTCCAAAAGCACCTGGTAAGAAGCCAGAAAAGGTTGCCGTTGCTGCTTAGGAGAAATGTTCCCTATGGTTGAATATTGGCAATAATGGCATTCCACTCATAAGGTTGTGCTTTATGGTGAGCATGATCAGATTCCTACGTTTCTCCATGCACATTTTGGGATGTCATTCGAAATAGAGATTTAGATTGAACCAGAGGTGGTAGGTGTTGTAGGATTTGTTACACAAATATTTTTGTTTTGTATCTTCTGTATTTAGAAGTGCAAATTGTGAAACCGTGAGCTGAATGAATGAGTTTTGTTCCCTAATAGATATTTTCTTTGCCATCAGTCTTGACTCTTGAGTTTTGCTAAAGTCTCTCAATATCATGTAACTGCATTATTCCAATGTGAACGAGGACGCAACTCTGCCTGAACCATGAGTGGGATTCTTGAGCCATTCCTTGTAGTTTGTAACGAATGCATGACGGTCTGAATCCTGCATTGTATTGACTTGTAGGTTCTATTGCATTGTTACTTAGAAGATTCAATGTTGTACCTGATCATATGTCCAAATAGATTGAAGTTAAATTTAACGAAGTAGATCAAGCTCTTTCCTTCCTTTGCTTAAAAGGTGACATCATTGGTGGATGCCATGTACACATGTTTTGGTTTGGACAACTTTTACTAGTGTGTCCTGTTCTGTTCAGTGATATGTGAAACACTGGGAAAGCAATTTCCATTTGGGTAAGGAAAGCATGGACCCTCCGTCACCACAAATAATTATTGTCTTTAGATTGATTGCTGGAGAAAGTGTAAGAGTGGCAATGAGTTGAATGAGAGAGACAGAAAGAGAGGGAAATAGAAGGCTGATGAATTGCTGTGTAAACAGAAGATTCAACGGGCTTTAGTGCTACCCCAAATTCTTGAATTAACTTTTGGTTTGGTGCGCAACTGGTGCCTCCTTGTATGCTCATCTTCATATCACTTTTTCTACTTATTGTGTGATTTATTTTGGTCAACTCGCAGAACCTTGAAAGTGGTTTCTAGCTTCGATGGTCCATCCACCAACACAAAAAGCTTATTAAACCAAGTTAGACTTGAGTTCCGAAGTCTACTGTGACAGCCCAGGTTGCGTTTAGAGAAATTACAAAGCTGAGTAGTATTTACCATTGAAAAAGAAGAAATGCTATATATATAATCAACATTTTTTCTTTTGATATAAGAGATATTGGAGGACGAAAAATCCAACATAGGAATTAAGTAAATGCTCATGACCAATTGAGATATAAACCCTTTGCTTTATAATGAGCATTTGGTTGCAGTGTAAACTTTCTATACTAAAGCCACAATCCAATAAGGAAAAAACTTCACGGGTAAGGTAAAGGTCTATTCCATCAAAAGTTTGTCGGAAAATTTCTATCTTGTCTAAAATTTGTCAGAGAAGAACAAATGAGCCGGGAATAGTCTATCGAGGCGAAAATTTGTTGGGAAGGACAAAATTCGCCAGAAAAGGTATGTTTTGTCGGGAAAGAACAAACCTCGCAGTCTATCCCGGCGAAATACTACTGATGAGGCTGGCCTATTGATGAAGCCTACTCAATCTATGGTTGCTGCTTTAAAATTAAGAAACCCTCCTATATGGCACTTTATAGGAGCAACTGTCCATGGTGCATAATTATTTTCCCAACAGAAGACACTCAGCCAAATTCAGTAGCCATTTGATACAAGATTCACACACGTTTCAGATAATAATATATTTTTGTCTTGCAGACACAATGACAGCATTAAGTTCCTAAAGAGACATATCTGATTAAGATAATACAAAGACCCCTGCAATAATTTCATAGGCTACTTAGTCAAATCTGTCTGCTCTGCACCAGAAAAAAATGTCATAACCTCAACATTTCAATCCAGACAATTCATTCATGTAATGAAACCTTTGTAGGGGACACGTTCACTCTTTCGGAAAACGACTTCGTTTCTTTATATTTTAATATTTTCTATAAATTCATAAGGCGCATCAAAATGGAAGGAAATTGCTGGAAAATGAGAAGAGCCCTCAAAATGGATGAGAGTGAGAGAAGGAATAACATCAATATATAAGTTCATTTTGAGCGTCCCATCTTTATCAAACCCTACTAACAACAGTACTAGGAAGGAAGCAGTCCCATCGATCCACAAAAATTCATTATGCAAATAATGCTGTAAATGGACCGAGCAAACTGCAGCACATACATATCTATTTCGTTGACCCCAAAACCTGATTAGGATGAGTCTTTCCCTTTCGGTCATCATTAGTACCATTTGGCTCTTTTCTTATATACCCCCCACTTCATTGGCTAGGGTCCCACAAACCCCTTTCAGCAAAGGCCTTCCTTCTTATGCATACCATGTATATATATGTCAAGCCTGTTAATATATGTTAGCCCTAATCCCCACCATCAATCTAATGCTATGCTTGAATTTGATTTTCTTCTATGATCACCCACTCCAATCTGACTTCTTTCCATGCTTGTATTGACATTAATGTATACTTTCAACTGGACCTTCTTATAAACTCAAGAACTATTTCGTGTCCATAAGTTTTTAGAATTGGTGATTCGAACTTGAGGCCTCATCTTCAAACAAACGGATGTTTGAGTTAAAAATTTGAAAAAGTGGAAGTAATAATGCTTGGGGACAAGTGGAGCTTGTTTAGAGGTCATTTGGTGATCCCAACTCATCCACTTTCTGCATATGTGATTTTGTTTCATTGAAGCCTAATACGTGTAACGTGTTGGTCTGGGTGGTTGAAGGGTCAGCTAGCGATTTTAGTAATACAAGAATATCCCCTTCCATGAAAAAAGTGCTTTTTAAGTGGATTCACTTTCTTCTTTGCCATCTATAAATCCTCTTTCAACTACAAAGTGTGTATATATAGATGTAAAGAGTTAGGTATTTCCCAAAAAGCACTTTGCATCCCACTTTCAATTTAATATGATTATGCTAATGGAGTTCCCTGTCACAATAGTTTCTCCACTTTGATTAATCTCACTCACAGAGATACTCCTAATAAATCTCCCTTAACAATCCCCTACTTGTTAACCTTTGTTTTTTTTCTTTTTGTATCACAAAATATGATCGGATGACAATAGATTAGCATAATATCTTTCTTTTTTCTTTAAAAAGAGAAAAAAAATTGAAGTATTGGGCCAATAATGACCACTAATTAAACAATTAAATATGAAAAATATATACAAATACATGTTTGTATAGCTAGGTCATCTGCAAATGGGTCAAACTCTCTTATGCTAGTATAAAGTTTAGGAGGAGATTGGTTAATCTCACTAACAATGCCAATAATAATATTCATAAATGAGTTATGTACACATGGCGCGTCGAGTTTCGTTGATTTGGAAGAGAAGGTGATCACTCCACCACTTTTGTCTCTCTCAACGACAAAAATATATATATTTCAAAAAGATATCGAAATTATGTTGTAGCCCACCTTCAACGGTAAGAGCATTTCCAGCAAGCAGGCTGGGGGGAGGGCTGGGGGGGGGCTGGGGGAAAATGCTGTTTCCAGCAACACAAAGCTGCCAGGGCAAGGAGTGGGGCCCAGCTACCTGGGCTGGCCCGAAGGGGAGGCTGGCCCGAGTGCCAGCCCGGGCAATCTGACGTCAGCGCGCTACAGTGCCGCTACAGTACCCGCTACAGTGCTTTTTTTGTCCAATAAAAAAATGAAAAAAATAGAAAAAAATACCCAAAAAATACTGAAATTTTTTACTCTTCACTTTTAACACCAGCAGCCAATATTTTTGTAATAAAAAATTGAAAAAAATACCAAAAAATTACTTCTTCTTTATTTATTTATTTATTTTTCTCTCTATACCTTATTTCCATTTTCAACATTTAAGTAAATGTCTTTGTCCTTTTACTTTTATTTATTTTTATATTACTCCATTTACTTAAGTTTACAATGTAAATAAGGAAGTACCCCCCATTTGGATTCAAATAAAAATACTAGAAAATCAAATTCCCACCAAATCAAAATATGAAAAATCGTTTTTAGTGCAAAATACGATTTAGGCTAAAAATGATGGCTAATTAAGTCAATATATACTTCATATTAAAATCCCATAAAATCAAGTTTTCTTATTTGATGTGTAAGGAATAAAAGCCGCCAAAAATTTTCTTGAGAAAATGATTATTTTGAAAAACCATTTTTCATACTTAGTCAATATTGCACCTCCGCTAAAAATCTTGAGAAAATGATTTTTCATACGTAGGAACCCAAAAATCTTATCCGAAAATATTATACAAATTAATTGTTGAAGTAAACAAAGTTGTGAAAAAAACAAAAAAAATGAATAGTATTTGCCATGGCAAGCCTTGCATTGCTGGAAACACAAATTTTTTTTTGCCCTAGGGCAGCCACTATTCACGTGAATAGTACCCGCCCTAGGGCTCCCCTTGCCATGGCAAGGGGCTAACTGGTGGAAGTGCTCTAAGGATACAGACTACTGCTATAGTTGGGACCAACTTTGCTCCAAAACCACATGTCGTATAACTAATAACCAACAATAAAAATGGTGAAAAATATGGGGTTGATTTCAATTAATTTGGTACTCTACGGTTGTACGTTTTAAGGCATGTTTGTCCTTACGTTTTCAATTTTAACAATGAGGTATCTTCAAATTGAAAAATTATTACAATGTGATTTTGACCGTTAATTTGACCATTAAAAAAACCATTAAATGATGATGTGTCATTTGTGGAGTCCATTTTTGTTGCTTATGTGTAATAACATATTAATAAAAAATTGATATATTATATAGTGCAGCACAAAAATAAGGGTACATGTGGGTTTTCCATGGACCTTTGGTTGGGTTGGGTTTGCAGCACAAAATTAATATATTATATATTGCAGAGGGAATTAGTGAACGAATAATATTATTCCACTTGTAGATCTAATCTGCTCTGCACCTCATGCGCTGCATATAGAACTAGAGCTTTAAAAATACAAAGAACATTGCTAATTGTGACAGCAAATGTTGCCATTGAGAAAAAGAAACAAATTTTTTATTAAAAAAACCAAAGGGAATGAGCCTGTGAATATTCGCCCTTTTCCTGTCTAAGAATTAATGGGCGGTCCTAATTATAATCTGTATATGCTGCATGTACGTATACGTACTATAGGTATAGCTATTGCTTTATCTGATCACCCACCACTACTTCTTAGTCTTTTTGTAATGCGATCGAGTTGGTAATTAATTAATAATTAGAGCATTAATCATCACAACAATCAATTAGCACTAATCATCACAGCAATCAATAACCAGAGAAATGAGCTCATTGAAAAAATGATGCTATAAGTCACCCATATTACTCATGCATGCATGCATGCATGATTATATCTATATATATATATATATATATATATATATATCAGTGAAATGAGAAAAATCCTAGCATGAATGGAAATTTGAGGATATACTTGTTGTGGTAGATCAACTAGGAAGCAATACCAAGCTTGGCTCCACTTTGCTGTTGTAGAGATCAAGTGTGTCAGTGGATGGGTCGGGTTTGTTTTTCCAGGTCAGAATGAAACTTCATAGAAAGAGAGACACATCTACAGGAGAAAGGCAATAAAAAGAACCCAGCTAGGGTTGAAAGAAATGCACTTGTGCTTTCTTCTTTTTTTTTTTTTTTTTTTTTTTTTTTTAACCACCACAAACAGTACACACACCTACTATGCCTGAAATCGGTGAGAATATATATAAAGTTGAGTTGAGATTGAGAATATCTTGGAAGAATTTGGATTTGATTATAGGCCAGGCATTTCAAGTCGGATTCGAATGGATACAAATTTGAATCCAATCGCATTGCACCTCTGACTAAAATGCACTGAGACACAATCTTAGAGAAACAGGGAAACAACAAAAATATAAAATTACCTTGAAATATTGGACATTGGCTAGCTAGGATATGATGGAAATTGCCCTCATCAAAAGGTCGGTGCACAATGGGGCAACATGACTATATAATAATAATAAGATGACATATATATATATATATATATATATATGTTTACTTACCTCAAAGAAGCAATGCAAATCTTTGTGCCTAGCTAGAAAGAATTAATATATATAGTCCCCTTGGAGCCGCCAGGGGTCACCTATAGAATTTGAAGTCAAATCCAGGGCACATACATATATACTGGCAAAGTGCATGGAACAAAATAAGTGCAACAAAGAGTTGGCACTCTGAATTCAGCCAAAAAGATTTGTATAAAGGAGATTACATGTGGTTTTCTAAGTAGGATATAAAGGTAGTTTAATTAGGGATTAGTCATTTTCATTGCCCGTGGCTTTTTGGCATTCTATCTGCCTTTCCAAGTCGGCAGTATCTTAGTGCTCTTATTATTATAGTTTTAACTTTAATGTCGTTCCAGTTTTTGCCTCAAAAAGGAAGGAACCAACCAGGTTGGTACGTTTTTGGTTTAGGGTTTGGTCATCTTTCTTAAATGGTTCATTTTAACACACATAAGGTGTATGTTAACACACGTGTTTTTCTTCAAAACAATTTTGTCAACCAACCAACCAAGGAACGTAAATCGAATGACTACCTAATGTGTGGCTTCAAACTCTAAGCAAGCACTCAACGCTTTTGTTGAAAGCACTTTTATTAGAAGCAAAACAAATTTTTTTGGTCAAAATCCATTAAGTGTTGCTCTAAAAAGCACTAAAAGATTAAATGATTTTATAACCCAAAAACACTTTTAAGTTAACTTATTTTGTTATTATAACCCTAATATGAAAAAAAAAAAAGCACTGCATGGTACATACCCCCCAAAAACAAAATCTATACAGCAAAATCTTTTCTCTTTACAAACTTAAACCACAACCAACACAAGTGCTTTGCATCATCTTTGTAAAAGTACTTGCAACCTTTACCACATGTGTGTACTATGTTGGATAAAAGCAAGCATAATTCTTCATGTCACCTATGGCCAATTACTGGCCTATAGAATCTAATTTACAATATTCTTGTTATTTTTTACAATTGTTTTTGTATTAATCATCATATACATTTTTGGATAATAATTAAGCAAAGTATAATGATAAATATTAGAGTTGGGTAATCTTATGGCTGATAAAATGTCACAAGGGTAGCAAATACGAATTACGCCAGTTGATCAAAGCAATGTGTACGCTTCCTTGCACCAAATTCAATACCCGTACCTTACTATCACTATGTCGAGAAAAAAAAATGTGAGAAGGGTAAAGTAGTAATTTGACAGAAAGTGTTATGTGTTTAGTAGTTGGGAGACTTAACAACAGTATTTGTGTCTGATACTGGAGAGATACTGTTGGTATATTCTTCTCCCGTATGTCTCTTATATCCAATTGGCTGGCTGTCACAAAGCCTCCAAAGACATCACACGCTCATCAACGCAAAACACACAACCATCGCCAATCGAAACCCAACAGACACATACACAAGGAGCTCTCTTTGTCTCTGTGCGTGTCGTGCCACTTTGTGCAATGGTTTCGTGGTTCGGTCATGGCGTGGAGGACGGGTTTGAAACAGGGCCTCTCTGTCTCTGAATTCTCAGCTTTTTCTTAACCTGTGACGACTTTCCTGAGAAAATGAAAAGTGGGAGAGAAAGTGCAAGAAAGTGACGAAAATGAGACGGCTGATGCTCTTTCGAGGAGTTTTGTTCTGGGTCGACTTTCTATTGTCAGCTTTTGGTGGCTTTCTCATGTTTTCTTCTGGGTATTTTTGGTTGTATTCATGACTTTTTATGCGCTTCCCCTGCTTTTCAGAGGCTGTTAATGGTACACTTGTTCTCTCTCTACATATCTCTCTTTCTTTTCATCAATTGTTGTACTCTATATTACACACACACACACACGCAACGCACACATATATGCAATGGTTTTAAGTTTCTTATTGAATTTTGAACTTTTATTTTGGAAAAAAGAAAGATTCTGGGTTTAATTTCTTGATGTGAACGAGTTTAGTGTACCAATTTCGTTTATGATTTCGTTTTTTTTGGAATAAATGGTTAATGGGATAGAAGGAACCTAGTATGTAAATAGTTGTATATGTATAAAGAAGTTGATGGGTTCTGGAAATTGAATATTTTTGGGTTGCATGTTGGATGCATGAGGTTTAGAAGAAATAAAATATGGATGTCAAGTTGAAGTCCCAGTAACAGAATGGGGAATGAAAAGTATGAATCTTTTTGTGTTAGTGAAATTTGTGAAGGGATTCGAGAGCCTCAATTAATCCATACATGAATTTGTAATTATTAGGTGGAAGATGCTTGATTCATGTACCAAGTGATTAGTTGGAGTAAGAGCTTCTTTCTGGTTTTAATTTTTGCTCTCCTTGACAGATTTTAAGTTAACCGGCTTGTGTTTCCAAAATGCTTCTCAAATTTATATTTTGGACACTGAAAGTCTAAAATCCAACTCTTTTTCCAAGCCATCAAATCTGTATGCAATCTCAAGTACAAGCGTTTGCCAAGCTCCAACTTTTAAGATTGCAGCATCATATAACACTTTCTATCTCTCTCTCTGAATTTAGGTTTCTAAATTTTCTCTATATGGAAATGAAATATTGCAGGTTTCTTTGAATCTTTACAGTAGATAGTAACAATAAAATAATAATAATAATAAACTACCCAAAAAGAGCACATGCTGAAGATGCAAAATTTCCAGAAGATCCTACTTGTGCTGAGTTATATGAAGCTCCTACTTCTTCGTCTTCTTCTTCTTTCCTTGAAATTTGGTTGTTTTACCAAGAGTTAGATCTCTATCCATTTGAAGCCATTACTTTCATGCACAAGAAACTAAAACGATTAATGTGAAATCTAAATTACATGTTCTGTTTTCTGCATCTACTTGTGTGGCCCCTTCTCAAACGTTTCTCTCTTAAATTCTGGAAGACTGTTATATCTCTCTGTTTCTATTTTCTTGTCACACTAAAAATTAAAAGGTGGTATTGATGCAGGTTTCCCAGAAATGTTTAACTGCTTAAAGAAGCTCTTATGACTTTTGGCATTCACAAATGGCCATTTTATAGATTTCTTAGAGTACTCCTGCAGTAGTTAGGCAATGTTGTTGCTCGTTGTATGGAAACATCATACTTTTAGAGAAGCTCCCAAGATCTTTCGCAGTGACAAATGGTTGTTCAGCTACCTCTCTGAGAGATCACCCAGTATTTGGCTCTGAACTGCAGTAAACCAAGCGCTAAGATAGATTTCTGTTGGGTGGATTGAACTTTGCTGATCTCATTCCTGCACTCTGTTGGTTTAATTCAACTCTTGAGGCTAACCTCCTTTGGCAGTGGATAAATCCTGAAAGAAACTTTGGCTTCCTTTTGGGGCAAATCTCCTTTGGCAAAAGAGACACACACACACATGTGTGTGGATGTCTCTCTATATATATTATATTAACAAGTGAAAGTTCAGCTCTGTTGGGCAAATCTCCTTTGGCAAAGTTACTTAAGTTCCCTTTGGTTGGTTGATTTTATTCTGTAGCGGATGAGAAGAGTTCTTCTGTTTAGTTGTCATCAATTTATCTCGAACTCCAGCCTTGCTTCAGGGCAGATCTCCTTTGGCATTCTTCTTGCTATTTCGGGAAGCTTCACCTCGACCTCTGGCAGTTGCAATTCCTTGATACTTCTGCATCTCCTTTTGAAGTTTGTCGTGGGAAAATTTATTCTGGTTGAAACTTCACTCCACCCATCGGGCAAATCTCATTTGGCATTTTGAGTCCACTGTTGACTCCGGTTACCCCTCTGTTGGGCAAATCTCCTTTGGCATTTGGAGTCCTCGTTGACTCCTGTTATCCCTGTAGGGCAAATCTCCTTTGGCATTAGATCTCCAGTTGTAGTGGTGAAAGTATCCTATTGGAAATACTAGCACATTATCTGTATCAAATATCAAGTGGATATCCAGCTGAAGAATGGATATGCTCCTCAGTGACTCTGATTGGGAGAGTTTTAGTGAGACTGGAAGTAGTGAGGATCACGAGGAAAATGAATATTTCTATGGCGGACATGCCAGTAGTATATTGTCTAGCCTGGAGGCTACCATTGGGAAAATTGATGACTTTCTCTCGTTTGAGAGGGGATTTATGTATGGGGACATGGTGTGCTCTGTAAGAGATCCATCTGGACAAATGGGAAGAGTGGTTGGGATCAATATGTTTGTTGATTTGGAGAGTGTTAATGGAAATATGATAAAAGATGTGAACTCCAAGAACCTTTTGAAGATCCGGTCCATTTCAGTGGGGGATTATGTTGTTTGTGGTCCATGGCTTGGAAGGGTGGATAGAGTGGTTGACCGTGTTACTGTTGTCTTTGATGATGGGACGGAGTGTGAGGTCACTGCTGTTGATCAAGAGAAGCTCTTACCCATTTCTCCAAACATACTTGAAGATCCACAGTACCCATATTATCCAGGACAGAGAGTGCAGGTCAGGCTTTCAACTGCTTCCAAGTCAACAAGGTGGTTATGCGGTAACTGGAGGGAAAATCAAGATGAGGGAACTGTTCGTTATGTGGAAGGAGGTTTGGTGTATGTTGATTGGCTTGCCTCTGTTCTCATGGGATGTGATTCAAAATTGCCTGCTCCTCCACGTGTGCTTGATTCAAAAAAGTTGACTTTGTTGTCTTGTTTCTCTCATGCAAACTGGCAACTTGGGGACTGGTGTATGCTTCCAGTTAGTGACCATAAAGCTATCATGGAGCAGGCTTTTCATAATGCATCAACTTGTGAGCTCATTAACCAGCGCAAGAAATCAGAAAGAGGATTCAGGAGAAGAAACACTAATTCAAAATTTGAGGAAATCTTTGTTATCATAAAGACAAAGACAAAAGTTGATGTTGTTTGGCAAGATGGTAGCCACTCTTTGGGATTAGATTCACAGACATTAGCTCCAGTAAGTGTTGTAAATGATCATGAATTTTGGCCTGAACAGTTTGTCCAGGAAAAGAGTACTTGTGATGATCCACACTTGCCTAGTAGTCAAAGATGGGGTGTTGTGCAGGGTGTGGATGCAAAGGAAAGGACAGTAAAGGTGCAATGGAAAACTATCACTGCACCTGAAGCAAATAATTCAGAGGGAGAGAAAATGGATGAAATTGTAAGCGCTTATGAACTGGTTGAGCACCCAGATTACTCCTACTGTTTTGGAGATTATGTGTTCAGGTTGGTCCAGAATCAGTTTGATGAACAAGCTGATAAAAACTATCCAAACACAAAGATTGGCATGAGCGAGGAAGCTGCTCCGATAGACAAGAACTGTGGTGGGGATCAAGACGAGTACACTGATAAATGCTACCTAGCTCACATTGGAAGTGTTATGGGCTTCAGAGATGGAGCTGTGGAAGTGAGATGGGCTACTGGTATTACAAGCATGGTATAAATTTAAGCCATTATTGTTTGTTTATTCATCATTCTGTTTGTTAAATGATTTCGAGCTGGTGTTGCTTTCCCATTAGATTTTGATTTCATTTTAAAGTTTTTTGTGGTCATTGTTACAGGTGGCCCCTCATGAAATTTTCCGGTTTGACAAACATGAAGGTTCAGCTGCAATCCCTGCAGAAGATGACATTGAGGACTTGAATCGAGCTATGATTCAAAATGAAAAACAACCTTCTAACCTGAAAGGAAAGGTACAGCCATCTCTCTCTCTCTCTCTCTCTCTCTCTCTCTCACATGCATGTACGAAACAACAGCCAACTGTTTGTGGTGGCATTTTTCAGTTTCCACTTCGCTGGGTGGCAAATGTTTTTGAAACATCGGGTTGCATTTGACGTTCATGAAATGACTGTTGAATTGGGTTGCATTTGTAACAATAGTTGGCTCACATCCTAACAGCTTAAGTTTTTTTGGAGCAACGGTTAGTTAACAAAAACTTAACCTGGTATTATAGCCGAAGATCTTGAGTTCAAATCCATGAAAACCTCCCAATTTATGTTGGGGTCAACATGTTTGGTTACCTTGGGAAGAGGCCCACCCACACATTAAAGAATTATTTGTCTGCATTTTAACAATTTAAGCTTTTCCAAACAACTGTAAATCAACCAAAAACTTACAGTTTGCTTCCTATAAACTCTGAATATCCTGTATTGTTTGCATTTTCCTCCCAACAAGCTGAATAACATTTCTATGTTCAGGATTCATTGAATTCGGATGATGCCAGTAAAGGTTGCAAAAAGTACACAAGGGAGTCTAGTTCCTATTTCCTTCCTCAAGCTGCTATTGGATTTTTCACAAGCATAGCTGCGAATCTTTTTGGATCCCATGATTCCGCATCACTTTCAGGTCCTTCACCATCAGTCTGTATTTCTGAAGTTGGAAATGAATCTGAGATCTCCCATGAGAAAGGAATAGTGGAAACTTGTGACCTTTTCACTAAGCCACATTCAACGGCTGAGCTGGAAAGATTTGGAAAGAAAATTTTGATTGAGGAAGGCAAAGAAATTGAGGGGAATAGCCTTCCACATTTAAAAGCCAATGAGACTGCAGGTCAGTTCAGGCAATTTGACATGGTTTTTGATTGCTCAGACCACAATTTTCATGGTGCCAGCAAGGAGTTAATATTATCTCAGGTTAGAAACCGGATGAAATTTCCATACAAATGTACCACTTCATATTTCATACACTCAGGATGGTCTTAATTCTTATCCATTTTGTTCCCTCGTAGGTGAAAAGAGGCTGGATGAAAAAGATTCATCAAGAGTGGAGAATCTTAGAGAAAGATCTTCCTGGTTAGCACTTCGTCTTCTTTCAGTTTAATTTTTAATGGTTTTCATAGCAATAGCATGATTTGGTAACATAGAGCAAGACTTGATTGGGAAGCAGTAAATATATAGACGAATTTCTGTTGGTTAGGAAAACCATGAATTGATAACTGAAGGGATATTCTTATTCTAAGTACTTTTAACACTCACTAGAGGCCCCATACTTACTTAACTTTGCTGTCATCAACAGAAAAAATCTATGTCCGTGCTTTTGAGGAAAGGATGGATCTTCTGCGGGCAGTCATTGTTGGTGCACCTGGAACTCCATATCATGATGGACTTTTCTTCTTTGACATTTATCTTCCTCCAGAGTATCCTCATGAACCGCCTGTAAGTATTTACATGTGGTTGTGCAGTTCTGTTATTTACATTTATGGCTATTATAGTGAGTGCTAATTTAGTTTGTCAATCTTAAAATTTTATGCAGTTGGTGCACTACAGATCTGGTGGTCTCCGTGTCAACCCTAATTTGTATGAGTCTGGAAAGGTCTGTCTCAGTCTTCTTAACACATGGGCGGGTACGGGCACTGAAGTTTGGAATCCAGGGAGCTCCACCATTCTTCAAGTTCTTCTCTCCCTTCAAGCCCTTGTGCTTAACGACAAGCCATATTTCAATGAAGCTGGATATGATCAGCAGATGGGAAGAACTGAGGGAGAGAAAAACTCAGTAAGCTATAATGAAAATGCCTTCCTCATGACTTGCAAGTCCATGCTGTACATACTCCACAAGCCACCTAAGGTATGATAGTTGTTTTGGTAATATGATTTTTTGCTTAGGGTCATACTGGATAAAGATAGTGTTCCTCTGTAGTCTTTGACGTGAAATCCCATAAAATCATACTTTTATAAGATCATTGAAATTGTCTTGTTTGGTAAGTATGGATTGTAACTTAATAATGTGGATGCAGCATTTCGAGGAGCTTGTGGTGGAACACTTCACTCGGCGCTCCCAAAATATTGTAATGGCGTGCAAGGCGTATATGGACGGGGCTCCGGTAGGGTGTGCAGTTGATTTTCAGAAAACGGAAGATAAACATTGTAAGGGAAGCTCTACTGGGTTCAAAATTATGCTATCCAAGCTCTTTCCGAAATTGGTAGGGGCTTTCTGTGATAAGGGAATTGATTGCAACCGGTTCATTGGGCCAGAGAAATGAACATGGTGCAAAAGTTGTAATATAAAGGTAACCAAGCAAGACATTTCTGTCATGTGTATAAATAAGTCCAGACACTTTCAATCTGTGTTTGGTGAAAGATTGGTCATGCTCATGTGTATTTCTGAGGTTGTGGTTGTTGTTGTTTGCCAAAAAAGAATAAATAAAAAAGAAATAGAATCTATGGTTTGTTTGTATCTGTGAAAAAATGACTTTGTAAGATTTGTTATTCTGTATTATACACTGTCTTGCATACAAAATCTATGAAATAAAAAAGCAAGAGTTGAGTTTGTGTGTTAGATGGTTTAAGTGATTTGTTTGGTTGCCAAGAAACGGACAGAAAGTACTGAAAGAATCCCTTATGCTTCTGTACTCCTTTTCTCTTCGGCCGTGTTCTAATTATATCTTAATCAAGGCTAATACTTAGCTTTAAATGATCATATTAATATTTGACTAGCCCCTTGGCACATGTGTTAACGCATGTGCCAATTGGTTATTTATTTATTTATTTATTTTTTAAAGAATTAAGAAAAGATAACATGGATAGTTATGTTCTACAAAAATAGGACTTATTATTTGAATTTTTTTTAATATGAAAAAATGTGAATTTACCATATTATCCTTATTTAATTAATAATTTCAATTCTTAATATTTGAATTAATCAAGGATATTTTTTGGTATTTTGAATGTTTTATTATTATCTGTCTTTTACTTTATATATATAGATAACGAATTATTAGTCTATATTAAAAATAAATATAAAGAAAATTTGTTAGTATAATAAGAGCATTTCCAAGGAATAAATTAATATTTGATAACGAATATTAGTCCATATCAAATTCAAATTTAATGTCTAAGCTAAGAAAAAAGAGAGCTGAAGTAAATAACATTAAAAAATTGCAACTTTCTCTGCTCATGTCCTGCGATTCAGGTTCTTCTTCAGTTCTCTCCCTCATTGCACCGCGATGGAGTCCAATTCTTCATCATCTTCTTCGGCTCCATTGCATAAATCTAGGGTTAGGGTTCTCACAATTTGCCAACGAGGTCACTCCTCTTATTCTTCTTCCTTTTCTTCTGCATCAATTTCACCACCACAACCTCAAACTCCATAACCCAAAGCTCAGATTCTGAAACCTTATACTCCAAACACTGCAACGACGTCGTGCCGAAGTCGGACACAGACCCCACCAGGTGGTTTGTCACCAACCTCTCCATCCAAGACATTGGCTTCAGGAACGGTTACTTCACCGGCGGCGATCAGCTTTTCAAGCAAAACCTGAAAACTACCGAGGTCGATGACCTGAAAGCTCTCTCCTTTGTGCCCTCTGATGTGGGTAAAACCCTCACCGAAGGCGTTTTCAAAGTCAGGGCAACCTTGCATCTTCGAGACTACTCCATCTTCCACAATTCTACGCGTCGGAATTTGCGGTTGGTTTATTTCAAAGGTCCGAGAAGCCATTTTCGGAAGGGCTTACTGAACTTTAGGCTTGATGGGTACTACTCAGAATCTTCTAAGAAGCTTTGTATGGTTGGAAATGGCGGGTCAGGTAATTTGAGGCCTCTTAGTGTTGTTCTTAAGCTTAATTATCCGCAAAGTTCAAGTATTTATGACAGTTTAATTACTGGGACTTTAGAGAGTTTGAGTGATAAGCATGATGGGGATTATTTTGAACCCCTTTTGATGTTGGGTTTATATCAGAGTTCTAGTTATGAATATAAATTAGCTGGGAAAGATAGTGAGAATGGTTGTTTGCGTGGTGACGATAGAGGAGAGAATTTAGGTGTGGGCAAATCGAAGCGTGGTTTGTGTATGTTGCTTGGTAAACTACATGAAAGCTTTGAATTGGAATATGGAAGTGATTGTGGCAGTGTGAATTGCAATCCTCTTGGTGGGAATGCTGGATATGTATCTTCTTTTGTTTATTATGGAACTCGGTGTGCAAATGGGAGGAAAATGCAGATGTTGTTGGGTTTTCCCAACTCTAGCTATTATGGCATCAAATTTCCGTTTGACCCTCACACAACCTTCATTACTGAAGGGACATGGGATGAGAAGGAGAATCGTCTGTGTGCTGTTGCATGCCGGATTTTGAATTTTACAGAATCTTTGACTCATGCTTTTGTTGGAGATTGCTCAACTAAATTCAGCTTGAGATTGCCAACAAAGTTGTCTTTATGGAATAGGTCTACTGTTGCGGGGGAAATGTGGAGCATCAAAGAAGTGAATGACTCAGGTTACTTTGCTAAAATTGGGTTTCACACTTTGTCGGGATGGTTGATGAAACTCTTAGATTTCAAATATGAGTATTCTGAGAATGATGATATGAGAAAAACATGTGCAGAAAAGAAGGCTGGGAGAGGCAAAGGAAAGATATACCCTGATGAGTTTTCAGTGGACATGAAATTTGGCATGACAGTGAGAAACAGTAAAGGACAACAAGCATCTGGTTATTCATCCCCTTTATTTGTGGATGATGAGAGGGTTTATGGACGCCGGTTTTGGGATAAATTGCCGCAAACAAAATCATCAATGCCGCTGAACCAAAGCCATACCCATAGCAGTCCGATGAACGTCAGCTATAAGTTGTTCTTCATATCTGATTTCGGTTTTCATCATGATGCTTTCCCATCTAAAGCAGAACTATCTGCTGAAGGAATATATGATAGGGATTATGGTAATCTGTGCATGATAGGATGTAGGCACGTACCAGTGAAAAATCAAACATTGATTAAACAGGATATGTTAGACTGTGCTATTAAAATCATTGTACAGTTTTCTCCATTGGATACAAAGGATGGCCAGAATGTCAAGGGAACTATTGAAAGCACAAGGCGAAAGTTAGACCCTCTTTATTTTGAACCTATTGAGTTTTCTTCAAATTCTATTTACACTAGCCAAGCTGCAGCATCCATTTCAAGAATCGACTTTGAGATCAGTATGGTTCTGATTTCCAACACCCTTGCATGCGTCTTTGTGGGCTTGCAGCTATTATTCGTGAAGAAGCACCCAGATGTTCTCCCATTTGTTTCGATTGTTATGCTTATTGTTCTTAGTCTGGGATACATGATTCCACTTCTGGTCAACTTTGAAGCATTGTTTGTGCCAAATAAACACCACAGCCAGCAGGATACTTTTCTTGGGACTGGTGGATGGCTTCAAGTGAATGAAGTAATAGTCAGGGTGTTAATGATGGTAGCTCTCCTTTTGCAGCTACGTCTTCTCCAACTGACGTGGTCCTCAAGACAAGGTCATGGAAACCAGAACAGCTTGAGAGATTCTGAGAGGAAGGTTCTTTATGCAACTTTACCATTGTACATAGCTGGTGCACTGATTGTTTGGTTTGTGAACCTACGCAAAAATGCTTACCAGAGATCACACAGGCCATTTCAAAGACCACACCGCATGGCCTACCGAGTGTCTACCCTCCACCATCTTGCTTACCAGCAGCACTCTCTCCGGGAGGATCTCAGCTCTTATGCCGGCCTCGTACTGGATGGTTTTCTGCTCCCACAGATATTGTTCAACTTATTCTTCAATTCAGGAGAAAAGGCTCTGGCCTGTGCATTTTACCTTGGAACCACCGTACTTCATCTGCTGCCTCATGCATATGATCTTTACAGAGCTCAGACTGGTACATGGTTCCTTGACTTATCATATATTTATGCAAACCAAAAAATGGATTTTTACTCCACTGCCTGGAATATCATCATCCCCTGTGGTGGTCTGCTGTTTGCTGCCATTATTTTCTTGCAGCAGAGATTTGGTGGTCGTTTCGTTCTTCCCAAAAGATTTAGAGAGACTTCTGTATATGAGAAAGTCCCTGTCATCAGCAATGAGGAATTATGAGGGACATAGATTTTACCGAGAACCAATTTTTTTGATAATTGAAATCTAGTGTGCAAAATATATATCTTCTGATGGGCAAAATTCAAATTGTCAAAACAAAATTAAAACAGAAAACATGTCGCTTCAACAAAAATGTTTCAGACATCATTTTTCTGAGCAATGTCCACGATGCATGCTTCTTTTTGAAAAAATTAAAACGTTGAATCATACACCATTCAATTTCTGGCTAAAGAATGAAAAACTTTGCAATTGGTCCCTCCTATAGTATATTTATTTATTACTATCTCCATGATTGCAATTGTTGTTTCACACCGAAACTGATCTTGGGTTTATAAGATATTTGGTTGCTTGGGTAAAATCGATTGAATCCAAGATGTGGGAAAAGCAACATGCCATTAATAATAATAATAATAATATGCTCTTTAAATAACCAACCTAGCATAGATTAGAAGCTACAATAGATATGAACAATATGTACAGAACCAGATCCTGAACAACGACAATAACAACAATGTGGTTAAACCACTCTACGGAATTAACCACTCAAATTACCCTCTGTTCGTTTCATTACAAAATCTCTAGCAAGAGAGGAAGATGCTCTGATTAATTACAAAATCAGCAGCTGAATTCACGGATGAGAGAATCATGTACAACAACACCACAGTACGATGCAACTACCTTTGCTCCGACAGTAGAATCGAAGAACAGTCTTACTTGGTCTGTTGTAAACCTAGTCCCGCCCCATGACCTGAAACGCAAAGAAACCCGGTTAGATAATTTGTAAAAGATTACAGCCGACATGGACTACCTGAAAGAGAACACAAAGCATAAGTGACCAATGAAATATAATAATAAGCAGAGTCCAACCTAAAACATATTACATAATGGAGGATTTCATATGTTGAGATCGAAATACCTCTGAATGAATGCATCACTGAGACTTTTTGCCGGTAAGAATACGAGATATCTGAAGACCCCTGCTAAAGGCTTCATTGAACAGGATCCTAGTCTGCATTGACTGAAACCCAGGTAACCATGACAGCAATGCCACAGGAGCCAAAACAATTACTCCAAAGAGCAAATCATACAGTCGAGCCAATGAAACCACAGTATCCCACACCACTGTAGACTGCAGGAAAGGTTTAAGTACCTGAGCTATTAAAATTATACCCCAGCCGGTAGGGATGAACGCCAAGAAACTTGAGACTATATCGAGAAATTTGAAGTGAGTGAACTCGAGCAGCAATACAGTCACAAGTACCAAAACCATTATGACAAGAAGCTGAACTAGCCGGTAGTAGATATGCTCCTTCGCTGCATATTTGTCCTGAGCATATGCTATGACTATATAAATCCCAACAGCCACTACCATGTATATCCAAGATAGCAAGTAAACAGCTATGCTGGTATTTCCACGGGTAATATTTAGATGGTATACGACACCATACTGAAAGAAGAAGAAACGAAGATCCAAAAGAATTTCCAATAGCTTTCCCCAAAGACCAGTTGTTCGCAGATGGTCTTGTTCCTCATACCACCATGTTTCCCAGCTATGTTCAGCTTTTGTAAAAACCCCCCCGGAATACCACAACCAATTCATAAAATCTTCAAAGTCATATACAGTTTTCAGCCAATCAAATCCAGAAGGGTTGAACACAAACGGGGCCATTATCCACGACAATACGAGACACCAGCTTGAGATCGTCATGGCAATGTAAACAAAAGTATTCGTAGCTACAGAGTTATGAGCAGCAAACACTATTAAAATAATCCCAAGCTCAATTGCCTTCACAAAATGGCTTCGGGCGTAGAGTCGATAGTTCTCAGCAAAGCTCTTGTGTTGTACCACAAAGCCACGTCCAGTGGCTCGGTACTTTGCACCCCCATGAAGAATAGTACGGCCGAAGAAGTGGGTACGAGTTCCCATTGAGAATGTGTAGAAAACTGAAGCAAGCTGCAACTGCATTGTTAAGAAATCCCAAACTGCTCGAAGGAAACCCAGTTCAAGAGAGTTTTCAACAATCATTGGAAGGGCAGTGAAGAAACCTAGCTGGATAATAAACTGCTGATTCAAGATCACACCAAGTGATTTATTGTTTGCACTGTCCTTGATACCACTGAGAGCAAGAAAAAGACGTCCCCACAAGAAGGCATAAACAGTCAGTATCACCATCATCGTGTTAAAGTAGAACCCAGCAGTCGAGTAGAAAAATGAAAGCATTCGAAAGAAGTCCAATCTATGACCCAACCGGTACACATCTCTGCTTAAAACCTGCTCACCATTGCCACTAGCAACCTTGGCCTCAAACATGGAGATCTGATTCAGCCCAACATCCCTCCCCTTGCCCACCTGTATATATTCATGGTGAGTCACATTGCCACCTCGCAGTGTGCAATTGAAGCCAGCAAATATGTCCTCGCTGATATTGATCACTTTGGAAGCCTTGCTTATTCCACCTCGAGGCAAGAACCAGAACCTGTCAAACACATCTGGATGACCATAGTGCATTCGCACTTTCAAAGGGTTTGCCAGAACACGCTGGTTCAGGGTCACAAAACTCATCTCCTGAGCAGACATGAACCAAGCAAGAGACGACACGGAGCCAGTGAAGATATTCTCACGGACTCCCAAGATAGTCGGCCTCCTGATACCATAAAAGTTCTTGAACTCTTCCAATAAATTCCGCATTTTAAGTGCCTCCTCAAAATAATTATCTTGGTTCATGTCAATGGTCTGAACTGCATCACCCCTTGTGAAGATTATGGCATGGTTTTGATTTTCTGGTTTGCCTTCACCAAGCTTCAATGGACCAGGCAACATGATCCGATAGATCTCAACCTCCCTTTGAATCTGCTGATCAAATTTAACAAGGACAGAGTAGTACTCAACCTCATCCCTCCCCAAGTGAACCTCATCAACATAGGCAACTCGAAGGGCCTCATTGTTTTTCATAAGATATAAGATCTCCTCAGCACGGGAGTCTCCCTTCGTCTTATGCTGCCCATATAATTGGCAGGCAACCACATATGTGAACTTCAACAGAGCAATCCCATGTTCATTCCCCTTAAATAAATAACTAACACTGCTACTTGTTCTTCCGAGTTTCCGAGAAGAGGATTGCATGCCTGACTGTACACCATCCAACCCGCTATTTTGGTTTATCAAAACATGAGAGCCAATTTGCTGTGATCCATCCCTTATGTCCATCTCAGATGCAGAATCAAGAAATGCAAGCATCTTAAGGGCCCTATAGTAGTACATCATTCCTCTCACAGTGCGAGATAATGTCTGACCTCTGTGCGATGCCCAAAGACGGAGATCCCTAGCCTTATTAGTAAAGATTTCATCATCATTCTCCATGCCCTCCCTGTACATCCTCTCCATAAAATGCTTCCACTCATCTTCATAAATCTTCTGCAGATAAAACAGGGTGGAAATGCCATCTTCGTTCTCACTTCGAAGAAATTCTTTTCCATACAACACTTCCTCATCATAGTATGGAGTCAGCACACTGAAAGCCATCATTTTTTCAACATATGGAGCACGGGGCATGTTCATAAAAAGTGAATTGCTAAAGAAAGCAATACGTCGTCTCGCCTCAATATTTGTTGGGACATTGTGCATTGAGTCTCTAGAAGTGAGAATTGTATGCAGACGGCGCAGATGCCTAAAGCAGACCGCATCCTCATCATCAGGAAACTGGATTGCATTTTCAAAAAGCAAGCCTGCATCAGTGGCTGGCCTACAAGTTGCGAGGCCTTCCAGCCTCAAGGTTTCCATGGACTTCTTCAACCTCGGGAATTCACGAACGGAAAGTTCGTACAAGGCCTGCAACACATTCACTGCCTTACTTTCATCTTTCTTTCGTTGAATCAAAAGCTCAATAAAAGAAATCAACTTTGCATGAATTTGTGGAAGCAATGACAACTTATATGTAACCGTGACCTTCCCACTCTGAATACATTGATCCAGCTCCTTGAAAATTTTTGAAACAATGGAATTTTCTTCTGTGCCATATTTAACGACCACAAGAAGCAGATACTTGATGCTGTCATAAGCTTCGATGACAGCACACCGGCGATACTCACTCTTGCATATCTTCAACCAAAGCAACTGGTCAAGTTCCTCACCCAGCTCTTCTGCCTGACTTAGAGCAAGCAATAGTTCATTGCAGAGGAGGCAACATGGCCAGCGAATAACCCTAATGTTCCAACAATTAGGTGGCAATTCCATGAGCTCATGTTCTCGATCACTGATGAGATCTTCCTCCCTGAAAGTTGTCATGATTTCATTCCATATCAAGGCAAACCTGGTAGCTTCTACTTGGCTTGATTCAGTCTTCTGGTAGGCTTGACCAAGTCCATACCGCAATTTCAGTCTGCGGATGGCATCACGGAGCTTCTTCACCAATGTCACCTCAGGACGTAAGGACTCCTCCTCCGGCATAAGATTAAACTGCAACGCACTAGTAAAGAACTGAAATCTAAGCCTTAGCTGATTGATATTCCGGATCTCACCCAAATGTGAAAACAGCCCAATTGTTGCACCAACTAAGGATGAGAAAATGGCAAACCATATTTGCAGATCCATCAAGTAAATCAACACAACAGGAATCCACAACAACACAATTGCTATTCTGTTCCCGCTATTAAAAAAGATATGTATTTTGTACTTGGTATCCCCTGCGTCCAACAGAGTTTTCGTTGGGGAAACAAGAGGCCTGATCTGAAGGAAGTAACTGAATGTGAATTTTGAAGCCAACACTACGATCCAGAACATTGTATACTTGACATTATTGACAAGCCCTTCCCTCAGTCCACGACCCACAAAAATCCGTGTATGAAACCACCATGTGAATACATAGAGTATGCTAAAATCCAACCCTTCAAGAAAGTTCCTGACCCAGGGAACTATAAAGAGAACCAATGCCAGCACTTCCGGGATGACGAAAACAAGTGCAGCCTCAAGAAAAACAATAATCCTCTGATTGGCCGCATCCGACCACCTCCCATCCGAATTCTTCTGATCCCAAATCCTCGCATAAAACACCGAAAACACAATAGTCCATGTTGCGGCAGCTGCACCCTTCAGCACCATCCGAACACCAAGCAACATCGTCTCCCTGGAAACTAAGCTATACTGAGTCCCAGCATCAAGCACTGCTTGAAGAAGGCGAAGACCGCCCCAAGTAATAAACAATGTTAGCAACTGCACCTGATCGTCCCTTCTCTCCAATGCCTGCCAGGGATAATCTGTCTCCTTCCAAGCAACAATAATGGAAGCCTGTAGAAACAAGATTAACAAAACCCAGAGCTTATCAAAGCTCCTAAACACATTCCAAAACGACCTCTGCTCCACAAACCCCGTCTTCCCGACCCTCTTATTCTTCGGGGTGGTAGCAAAAAAATTACTTGAATAATTAATAGGCCATTTCAGCCTCTGGAAACACCTCCGAGACCAAAAGTACTCGTTAATATCATCATAATTGCGCCAAGCAGAGTGAGGCGCTGTGCCATTTCTGCTGCTCTCAACCTCAGTCTTAATAGTCTGGTAAATGGGCATAACCACACTCTTCAAAAACCCACAGTGCCCGGAAACCGAAGGCACAAACGGGCGACCAGTATCCGGGTCGATAGACTCATCAAGCACTTTGTTCAGTTCCATGGCCATATGATGGTAAATATAACAAACACATTCAGGGACGAAACGAAGGTTACCAGACTCGCCCCAAATCAGCAGGTACAGCGCCACGTAGAGCAGCTCGCGGCGGAGATCAGCGCGGCGTCTCGAAATGACGACGTTCGACTTCCGGCCCATGTAGGAGCACCAGGAGGTGTAGTTCTGCAGCAATTTGCCCCGGAATCGCCGGAGAACGCCGGCGTCGAGCGAGTCGACCAGGTTCGGCGGAGGCTGGAGCCGCATTTGGGAGTTGGCCAGGTGGAGGACCAAATGCTCCCGCTGATTCCGAACGTTGTCGGTTTGGAACCCGAAGGAGAGGCCGAGCCAGTCCATGAGGTCGTAGTTCGGGTTCCAGGGGACAAACTGCGGCTTCCGGAGGTCCCCGACGGCGCGTAAGGAGGCGGCAGCGGCGCGTATCTCGGGAAAGCGGAGCGAAGGGTGGTCGGCCAGGAGGTCGTGGATGGGGATGATGTTGTAGGCCTGTTGCATGGGCGGCAGCGGCGCGCGGAGTGGTCCACGGCCGCCGCGCGTCGGCTGCGGACGCTGCCGAAGATTCATAGCTCTCCTCTCTTCTTCTTCAGCTCTCAAGCTGGTCTTTGGGTTTCATTTATCATTTCTTTTTCTGAGTTGTGTTGGTTGTTTGTGGAAATGAGAGAGTGAGAGAGTGAGAGAAATGGTGTGCTGGGTTTTTATCAGGGCTTTAAGTAACGTACACGCATATGCTACTGAAAGAGACGAATGGATGTTGTAAGGTGGAGGCACGCGCCAGAGGGCGGGTGGCGGAGGATGGTGGAGATACTGAGGAGGGAAGCGGGGGGCCTTGGTGGGTCCGGACTCAAGGTGGTACCCACCACTGAGTATCAGAAATCAGAATATCGTGTAGGAAATCGGAGGGAGGGACGATACGCAACGCAACAAACCAAGCAGCAACCCACGCTCTATGTTTGCCGAAACGACGGCGTATGATGAAGGTTTTGAACTTCGGATAGTGCGAATCAAACGGATATGTGTCACACATGCACATGGGAGCCTAGAAAAAATAAAAGAAGGAATATCCCTTTTATTTATCTTACCAGAAAAAAGAGAGGCCAACAAAAAGAATTTGAAAAAGAAAAAAAGTACATGCACTAAGGTCATTCCCAATGATCAACAACATAAACAAAATTACCCAAAAAGAAGATAAAAGTTTAAAGTTACTTTTTCATGAGTGAAAAATAATGCCCCAAAATGTTGTTCGTATAATAATTATTTCACGCATCCAAAGTCGTGTGTTTTCGAATTTCATTTTTCACAATCATTTGTATAAAAAGGAAAAAAATAGTAAATTGTACAATTCATGAATGATAATAATAAAATGTCCTTTCAGTACTTGAAACATAATATTTTCTAAAAATTCTTGAAAAACATCCGTTAATTAATTTGGACGGTAAATGAATGCAACATTAGTGTATATAAATTGTTAATTAATGATTGGGACCGACTGCGGACCGTTGGTGATGGGTTGGTTCTTGAGATTGAGAATAAAGTGGGCTTTTTCCCATTTTGTTTTTGTCATTAGAACAGCTGAAGCATAATAAAAGTGGGTTTTGCAATGTGTTTTTTGTTTCTTTCGGCCTTTTGCGATGTCGTTTTCCGGATCTGTTGGCATGTGGGGTTTTTTCCACGAGTTTTCAGCCTCGTGAGTCTCATATCATGAAAGAAAGAAAGGCAGAGAATCTCTTACAGGAATTTATTATAAAGTTTATTTGTTTTTGGTAAATAAAATGAACGTTTATTTAATCACTTTCTTCATAGATTTACACGACATAGTCATGGTATATCACATGGCTATATAGCCCCAACTACTTTAAGAAGAACAATTGGTGACACATTTAATATATGTCTCTTCATTATCTTGGAAGTAACCATTAATAATCAATGATATTAAGGATGCAGAGTTATGATTTTGTAACATTCCAACGGCTACAATTTTACGTTGTTTATTGGATTTCTTATTCGGAAATATTTTTTGTTACCATTTTAAGACATTTATTTAACCCCACTATGCATGTCCCATGCATTTAATTTAATAACAACGTACATTTGTTTCCATGAAAAGATTTGTCATGCGCATCAATGACAGATATTCCACGCATCCTCCAGTCAGAAATTAGAGTTCAATATTTTTTTGGAACAAATAAAAGAGAGCCAAAGGGCCCCAGATAAGCTCAGCCCAGCAGGCCCATCAGCAACTATAATTTGCTTCTGAAGTCCCAATTCACAAGAGTACTTGTGTCACAAAAGAGAGTTTTCTCATTTCAATATTCACCAACTTCCTATGCACAAACTGGCTCGGAAAAGAGATTTTGAGCACAAATAATGGTGCAAGATAGCTAAAACAAACACTATAACTATACATGATTCTTTAATGCAAGATCAAGAGCAAGAGGGTCTTCAATAACACAATCTAGTTAGACCTTGACATAGTTCGCCTGGCCTTACGAAGAATCAATCGTCCAGGGCATCTCTGATTCGGTTATGCAATTCAGCATTTCGACTTACAATCTGATTGATCACAGTTCTGACAACAATTGGTAATGGCCTTTCCATAGATGGACCAGAAAGTCATAGCATTGCACTTGATCCCTGCAACAATGATCTGCCATGCGTTTCTGTTGGCTGTCCAAGCAATGCAAAAGACCCTAAAAATTATGAGTCTTCTCTTTCTAGTAAGGGATAGCTGAAATCCTCTAACAGCTCAGGCTCACAAAGCATTGCTACCAGGCAATTAGTTGGACCAGCTCAGGCTCACCAGTAATCCATGCATGAACAAGAGCCATCTTTGAAGTGGTGGAAGCGAAGCTTATCACGAACAATAATTTCTCTTTTAGTAACAACTGACATAAACTTAATTGCTTCATGGCAGTCCTCGCACATTCGAAGGTTCTTTACAATCCTAATGGCCATGCCATCCTTGGTTTTCAGTAGCCCAAATGCGATCGCAAGCTTCTCGCTATGACATCTAAGGGCATATTCCCTCTCTTCTTCTTCCACTTCATGCATCACTGATTCAGGTACGGGAGCATAACCTGCTTCCCTGCACTGCGACATCAGTTCATCTAAATACTGATAAACTTTATTTGTCTCGGGATGGGACTTGTCACCCATGCTAAACAGGTACGTTTTCTGGTTCACATCTATTGTACTATAGCCAACTTGCTTTCTCAAGCTTCTTCCCATCATCATGTTTCTAACCATTTCCACTCGATCCATCCGACCTGCCAGTGCATATATATTCGAAAGCATTACATAATGACCTGGATTTTCAGGCTCAACCTCCAAAAGATGCTCAGCAACTATTACTCCAAGATCGAAGTTCTTATGCATCTTGCAAGCCCCAAGCATGGCAGTCCAAACAGCTGGGGCGGCCTCCTCAGGACCAAGCTCTTTAATCAATTGATATGCTTCGGTGAGAAGTCCAGCACGCCCAAGCATATCGACCATGCAAACATGGTGCTCCACTCCTGGCACTAAGCCAAACTCTTGCCTCATGTTTGCATATGTCTCCCACCCTTCGTGAACTAGCCCTGCATGAGCGCACGCCGCCAAGACTGCCACAAATGTGACAGTGTTAGGAACAGGGCCATGAGCTCTCATTTGGCAAAAGAGTTCCACAGCTTGAATGCCATAACCATTCATTGCGTACCCTGAGATCATAGCCGTCCAAGTTATGACATTTCGTTCGTTCATCGAATCAAAAACTTCTCGTGCTTTGCTCACATTCCCACATCTAGCATACATGATAATTAGCGAAGTACCTAGAGCTACATTCACATGCAGCCCATTGTTAATAACATCATGATGCACCGAACAGCCTAAACCAAGAGCTCCCAACTGAGAACAAGCCGCTAAGACACTCACGAAAGTTGTCGAATCAGGTTCAACACCCAATTCCCGCATCTGATTAAACACCTCAATCGCTTCCCTCGAAAACCCGTTTTGCTCGTAACCCGAAATCATTGAATTCCAAGCTACAACGCTCCTCTCTGGCATTTTATCAAACGACTTCCGAGCAGCACCCAAATCACCAGACTTGGAGTACAAGGTAACTAGAGCGGCCTGAACAAATGAATCCGAGCCATACCCACATACCAAAACGTGCGAATGAACACATCTACCGAGTCTCAGAGCCGAAATATCGGCGCACGATTTAATCACAGACGTAAAGGTGTAACTCGAAGGCGCAATACGGAAACCAAGCATACGGTTATAGAAGAAAACAGTGTGTTGGGGGAACCCAAACTTTGAAGAGGCTTTGATGAGGGAATTGAAGAGGAAAGAGTCAGGGTTTGGAACAGAGAGGAAGAGCCGCCGAGTGTAGAAAATTGAGCCGGCTTCGCAAGCCAAAGTTATGAGCTTGGTGAGGAGAGCTCGGCTGCGGTGAGAGCCGGAGACAACAATGTGGCCATGAACTTGTTGCAGGGGTCTGAGAGACGGACCTGCTCGGAGAAGAGCTCGGTAAACCGGAGACCGTGGGATTGAAGAACCTGTGACTTTGGCTTCCATGAAAATAAAAACTTTGGGTTCAAAGTCCTGGCCTTGAAGTTACTACCCTAAACGCACCGTTTCACACATCCATTACAAATTAGTTTACAGTTCGCGCCGCCGAGATATCAGACTCTCCAAACACGCGCAGACACTCTCAGTGCAAACTCACGCGCCACCGTCCGCCGAAACCCTAACCTAGTGGAGATCGCAGAACCATGAGCGGCCCCTCTTCCTCATCCTCTGTCTCTGACGGCACCAACCGTTCATGGCTTGCGCAGGGACTGCTCGCCGGAGCTGCTGTAGCAGCTGCGGCCGTAGCTTACACGGTGATATCCAGGCGCCGGTCCGCCAGGTTACGGTGCCACGTGCTGGGGATCATACCGGCTCGTTTCGCTTCCTCCAGATTTCCAGGCAAACCTCTGGTCCCAATCCTCGGCAAACCCATGATTCAGGTTCTTGTGATCGTTTTTCTTCTTCTTTTTTCTTTCAAGTTCATTTTTTAAGTTTACTTAAATTGTTGCATTATATGAACGCAATGTTAATGAAAGAAAAAAGAGAACTTGATTAATCATTTCAAAGGCTGTTTAATTGTGTGGTGTGGTGTGGTGGAGACTAATCGGGATTTTGGGTATCAATTCTTTTGCGTTTCAAGTGTTTGAACTTTTGACAATGAGAAGTTTTCTTCTTTATCTTCTTTCTTTTCTTTTCCAATGTCTTTGACAAATGGAGGAAAACTGTAAGCAAAAGCATGGAAGTAGAATGTGTAATCATATATGGTATAAACTGGGCAGATGCTACGATCATTTGCTTAACTATCTTTTTGTGCCTTGTAGAGGACGTGGGAAAGAGCAAAACTTGCAACCACGCTGGACCAACTTGGTACTTCCAGCAGTCAACCTCATATGTTTTCTTTGCCAACATGATAAGTTCTGTGTTATTAAGTGGTGATTTGTGGACTAAAAAGTTCTTAAATTTTCCCTTCTACTAGTTGTGGCTACGGATAATGAGAAAATAGCAGAGTGCTGTTTGGGGTTTGGAGCTGATGTGATAATGACATCAGATACTTGCAGAAATGGTAAGAGCCATGGTTCACAATATTTCTATTTTACTGATTGTTAGTAAACTTGAATTATTTTTTAAGTTTCTTATAAATGTCTGATGATCTGAAGGAACTGAACGCTGCAATGAGGCCCTCCAAAAGTTCAAAAAGAAATTTGATATTGTTGCTAACATTCAGGGAGATGAGCCTCTTATAGAGCCCGAGATAATAGATGGGGTTGTCAAGGCCCTGCAAGTAAGTTCTTTATCCTCTCATGTTAGTTACTGTTCTTCTCCTTCAAGATGAATATGTTATGAAATCACACTTTTTAACAGTCATTTATTGATATTCTGTTCTCTTTTCAACTCATATAGTTTTGTGAACTAGAATGATGAGTCTATGGCAATCAAATAGTCCAAATCATTATGTGGCTGGCTATAGATTTTATTCTTTAGACTTTAGGTTCATTTGTTTTTTTCGTTCTGAATGTAATTGAGCGTTTCTTCTCCTTTTTGTTTGATTACTGTTTAGGCTGCCCCTGATGCTGTATTTAGCACTGCAGTTACTTCTTTGAAACCTGAAGATGCATCCGATCCCAATCGGGTGAAATGCGTGGTGGACAGTCATGGTTATGCAATATATTTTTCAAGGGGCTTGATCCCCTACAATAAGTAAGTTTTACTATAGATTTTAGCATGTCTGCGATATAATATAACACCATCAGCAACTTGATAAATTCTCATGTACACAACACAGGTCAGCCAAGGTCAATCCACGTTTTCCATATCTACTTCATCTTGGTATCCAGGTATCAGCATATCTTTATGTTACAGCACTTGTGAGCCTTTATATGTAATGTGTCTCCTACTTGTTGCCAACCAGTTATTCCATTCTTGTACCAGAGCTATGATGCAAAGTTCTTGAGGAAATATCCGGAGCTTGCACCTACTCCATTACAACTAGAAGAAGATTTGGAGCAGCTTAAAGTCCTTGAGAATGGATATAAGATGAAGGTATTGCTTGGTCATAAGACTCTTCTATGTATTTCGATCAATCTTATTTCATTTGATAAGTTCTTTTTCTCTCTCCTTATCAGTGAGCTGCTAAATAAGGCGTCAGAATCTGAGTATAGTTAGATCACAGATAATCCGATGTTGGGTGGTTTTTCATGTATATAGATTGACTGGTATTTTTAAGAAATATTTACTTCGAACTCGTGATTACCTCTCACAGGTGATCAAGGTTGATCATGAGGCTCACGGTGTTGATACTCCAGAAGATGTAGAGAAGATAGAATCATTCATGCGGGAGAGAAATCTGTCCTAGGACCTGCTTTTGGAAGTGAAAAAAGCGTTATTCGAGAATAAAAACTTAAAAGTACTTTTGAATCGCAAAAGCACTTTCTTGGATCGTATAAGTGCTTTCTAGAAAGAGAGTGTCTTCATGCTGCATCGTTTTATTCTTTCTTACTGATGATTCAGTTTTGTCTTCCATTGCAGACATATACTCATATATATACAAGAATTCATTTACTTCCAAGAATCTTGTTGTTCGGTGTGATTGATCCATAACAATATTTGGCAAAAATGTATGTCTTGTTTGTTTTCTAAATAAAATGTGTATGTTCTGTTACCAATACAAGAAACTCTGAAGCTTTACTCTGCAGCATTTACTGCATGCAGGGTTGTCACCATCAACCTTTCAGAACCCCCATGCTTGTCAATTTGAATTTGAAACCTTCACTCTGAGAAAAATACATGCCACTGTCCTATAGGGAACTCTTAGTTTTAACTTCTTTCCAACACCTTTTTTATGCTGTATATGCTGTCTTCATATAAAACCAGTAAACTCTCACACGACATCAAACACTTGAACACAATTCTTTATAGGCTAAATTAATAGGCTAAACAAGCAACTTCAGAAGCTTGTTACGTAATTAAACTCACGCATGTATCTTAAAGTAAACTCTCACACAACATCAAAGACTTAAACACAATCTTAAGAGGCCAAATTTGATTACATAATATAAAAAATTCAGTCAACAGGTGTTCAGGTGTGTATTCTAATTTCTAACCGACAATTTGATTGTTGATCATTCATAAATTAATTATCACAATTCAGTGAGTTGGTTTCATGGTCCATGGAAAATTCTCCTAATTCACCATTACAACACATTAATTTAAACATGCAATGTCACCCCAACCACCAAGCTTCCCTTTGTTGTAAAGCTGTGGTATTGTTGGCCAATTAGAATACTTTTGTATCCCCTCCATAACTTCATTGTCTGAAACAACGTCGAAAGTTCCAAATTTGACCTTTCTCTTTATTCAAAATGTGAACGGCCAATCTGCTAACTTTACATTTGGGCTCCTTGGGGGCTCCTTTCATAAAAAGCATGAGTCGATTAGAGTCAATCAGCTGCTGCATCCGCCTTTTCAAGGCATCATCAAGGCCAGTTTGTGCTTGAATTTGCCCTTGCTCCTGGAAAGATCCTTTTCTTTTTTTTTTCGCTAACTCTTGGACTGTCTCAAGGCTAGGTTCTCCGGGCTTAGCTGACCCAACAACCCTAGCAACTTTATTGGCCAAACAAGAAGGATCTGCACCTTCTAATGTATCAGTGACCTTTCCATCCTAACCAAAAAAAAAGCACAAACAAAAAAGGACAAAGAGAAGAACAAGATACAGAACAATCAGAGAATTGATAAAGGTTTATAACAAAAAGCTTCTTCTTCTTTTCTTATGAGCTGCCGGGGGAACATAAAGCTTCTTTTAATATCTGATATTCACTTCATATTCCATGTCATTGTCCTCAGATCCTAGTCCTTCTCCAGTCACTCAAACAAACAAAGTGATCCTATTGAACTTCTACCACCCACTCTCACACTCACATTTTGAGATTGGCATGATAACCTGAGCCTACTAATAAATGTATTTTTGGATTATAAAAGCGTTTTTGAAGAGAAACAGTCCTTCTCCTCCATCCTTTTATTCTTTCACACTTTATGATTCAGGTTTGTCTTCCATTGCAGACTAATACATACATACATACATGTATACATATATATATATATATATATATATATATATATAAGAATTCTTTTACTTTCAAGAATTTTGTTCGGTGAGATTGATCCATAACAATATTTGGCAGAAATGTATGTCTTGTTTGTTTTCTAAGTAGAACGTACATCTTCTGTTACTAATACAAGAAAGCCTGAAGCTTACTCTGCAGCATTTACTGCATGCATGTTTTACCCATCGACCTTTCACAACCCCAAGCTTGTCATTTGAATTTGAAACCTCGACTCTGAGAAAAAATACATACCAATGTCCTATGAGGAACTCTTAGTTTTAACTTCTTTCCAACACCTTTTTTATGCTGTCTTCATATTTCCTCATCAGTCAGCAAGTCGCACTAAGTTTCAGTAAAGATAGACATGATCACTGTACATGTGGGCAGTCATGTTCAAAGATTGAATCATTGCTTCTCCTTTCTTGTTGAAATTGAATACGGAGATTCCACCGTTGTTCACATCAATGGCACGAAATCTGAACCGTCAACAGCATTGTCAGGATACCAACATTGCATTTTTCTTGATATTTAAACTGCAATGCCGATGACATACCTCTCAGGGCCTAGCCCTAAAGCTGTGCAGATCAGTGCCCTCAAAATTGATTTGTGAGTGATGACTAAAACATGTTCTCCCTGATACATCAGAAAGATATTTGTTTACACATCTTTTATATTATCAAAAATTAGCGTCAACAAACAAAATTTGTATCATGATAGCAAAGAAACGATGTCATGTCTCACAGGTGTAAACAAGATCTCCTTCCAAGCCTCTCTGGCTGTTCCCCACAGTTCTCTTACAGGATAGATTCCATTCACATAAAAATTAGCAGGGTCCTCTCTCCATGTTGCATACTCCTTTGGATATCTCTGCTTGGCATCCTCTGCCTCCAAATTCTGAACGTGATTTAGTATGATTCTAGAATGCATGAATTCGGAACGAATTAAAACCAGGAAGTAAAACACGAGCAGACTGACCATTTTTCATGCCTTCAAGGAAAAACAGATGAGCCTCCTTCAGGGAGTCGAGGAAAACGAGCGGCTCCTCTCTCCCTTGCCATATAATTTCAGCAGTGGACTGCATCAGAATTCGGAAACCCACAATTAAAATCTGCTTTGAAATTAAATGCAACAAGGTCCATAACATACTTTAGCAAGATGTTCAACTTCAAACCTTGGCCCGAGATATTGGACTCGAATAACACTGATCAAAATGCATATTTGCAATGGCTTTTCTGCACCTCTCTGCTTGCATCACTCCAGTTTCTGTCAGGACAGATTGGTTTGAGCTTCCCTGTACATACATCCAGGGTTAAGCTTCAAGAACAGCTAAATATTTTCTATATGAAAGGAAAAAAATAATTCAGCATGTTTGATATGCCTAATACAGATGCATAATCTAGAGCAGGAAAAAAAAACCCAACTTAAATTCCTTTTATCATAGTTAATTAATTAATTAAGCAACTAAAGACGAAGAAAGCAACTAACCTGAACTCTACTTTCTTCATTCCAAGAGCTAAGGCCATGCCGGACAAGAGTTACCTTCTTTGATGAAGCGATTGACTTATTATCTGTAAGTGATGTTGTTGCTCTTGTGAAGTCAAATGCACCACCAGTCATAGCAGCATCATTCTCAGATTTTTCTTGGATAACAAAAGAAAAATGACAGAAAACTATGAACAACCCATCAATCTTTTCAAAATAAAGAATTTGAATTCTGAAGCCATCGAGAGGCACATTTCTGTGGGAATTGAATGAGAAATTGAAGTAAATAAGAACAAAAAAAGGAGACAGAATTGGTAAACTTACCAAAGGTTTGAGGCACATCTGAGCTAGAACTTGAGCATCGAATTCCAAGTGTAACAGAAGAAGAAAGATCAGTCTTGAGCTTGGGAGCTGTTCTATTTCTATAGTGAGATACGGAGATTGGAGATAAAGCAGAGCTGAAACTAAGAATTCCACAAACCATCTTCTTTGACAGCTTGGGGTTCCAGAGATGTTTGTGTGTCACTGTTCCTCAGTCCCACTTCTATTTGGTTGTGGGGATGGTTCCTATGGCATCCGGAGAAATTTAAGTTGTGGTCATTATGGTGCATCACAGATATCTTGAGGTTGATCCTGGCCGTTGGATGATATTAGAGTGTTATCTGGTCAGAGTTGATTGGACTGGTGCGGAGTAAATCTTTGTCTCTTTACTCTTTGGAGTAGATGGGAATCTGCTTTGAATTGGATTTTTAAACAACTGGTTGTAAATAATAACCACCAACATAAGTCAAAAAGACACTAAAGACAATGAGACAAGTCAATGAGAGAAATATAAGAGATGGCAGTTGGTTATAATAGTTTCCCTTGAACAATACTCAAAGAACAAGAAAATTATGAAAAAGACTTTTCCATTCATCCATACAGTCCTTCAGGTACTGAACACTAGAGCATATTACATTCATTTTTTTTTTTTTTTTTTTTTTACTGGGGAAAGATCAAATGAAAACAACAAAATTAAGGTTTTACAACAAACAGAGGATTGAGAACAGTGTAAAGAGTGTAGAGAATAAGCAGAAAATATAATGCTGCTGCAATGATGGCAGCAACAAGAGCTCCTGTTACATGATTGCAGAACTTGTGGACTTGTCCACAGATGGGCAGCCAGCCAGCATGAGTGTTCCCTTTCTTGCCCACTTGAGCTATTGCCAAGGCTGCTGACATGCTTGAAGTAAGTAACAAAGCCACAACCTGTGCAAAATTGTTCAAATCAGAAAAAAGGACCTCAATTTCAGTTCATCATAGGAAAAAAAAAAACATAGAAACATGAAAATAAAAATGCAAAAAATAGAAAGAATTTTTTTTTCTTTACCACATCTAGAATGATGACCATGCGCCAAAGCGAACCCTTCGAAGCAAGAAACAGAATCATAAGGTTGTATCCACTTACAATTGCTTCCACAATCACAAAGTACCTTTGCCATGAGCAAACACATTTAAAAAGCATAAAATAAAATGATTAGAACATGATTATGAGGAAAAGGGTTGATTAGAAACTTAATTAAACTTACATGAAAGCAGGCGAATTGCTGTATTTGGCCTTGAATGTTAAGTTCAAGACATTGACAGAGTCATGGCTTGTGACCATAACTATGGTGGCAGACAGAGTTGCAGCCAAAGCTAGCAGCCTTAGCAGAAAGGTGAAGATCTTCCTAATCTTAGTCATGGAGATCAAATGAGGAAGGAAATAATCCGATGTTTCAGGCTTCAGCTAATAAAATTAGAAGGGTATATAGAGCAAGAGATGTTTAGGCTGTTAGAAGGACAGATAGAGGGTGGGGCACTTGTTTTCTTTGTATTTCTTTACAGCAGGAAGGGTTTGTTTACCTACAAATTTATGAAGATTTTGATCTTAATAACGAGCCAATTAAACATTTACACAGAGCAAAAGGGTGTTTCCAGATTTAACCACGTGGTTTAAGATTAAGACTCCCATTAATTAGTGGCTTCTAAGCAGTTTCTGTGCACTGCAGGCAGATTTTGGCAACTAATAATATAACTGGGCATGGGGGTAGTTGAAGGTCGATTTCCAGAGAGACAATACAATATAGGTAGCCATATTATACATCCATGGAAGTTTTGTGTATACACAGACATACACATAGACAGATGCATGCGCGCCACATGATCCTTCTTCTCATATTGCATGTTACATTTATGCATACTGATTGTATGATATATTGACTCGCAAACTATGGACATTATTTTGATTTTATTATGAATGAATTTTTATAACGATGATTGTAGTGCATGTCATGCCATTTAGTTTCTTTTTAAAGATAAGGAAACTCCAAAACAGATTCAATTAAGAGTCATGACATGATTACATCCAAAAATCAAATGTATACATTGTGCTCTAAAACACTATCGTAGCATATCAAAGCCTTATATTATTTATCATTTAGCCTTTTTAAATTACTTTAATTAATAATTATGTTTTAATTATTATTTTTTAGTGAATATTTAAATATGTTAAAGACAATTAAAATTCTCCAGAGCCCAAGAGCCACATGACTATACTATTTATATATGTAGTGAGATCCTTTTTTTCTTCGATTTTCGTTTATCAATAAGAGTTGTTTAGAGCATTATCCATTACTGTTAAGCCATTACTCGAGTCTCTATTATCCCTTTTTGATTTTTTATTTTTCTAGAGTTATTACTCGTATAAAGACTGTAGCACTTTCATGTTTAATACATGTACGTGCGTATTTTTCAATAATACATCCGTGTTCTGCAAATGTCTTAAAGACTCGGTAAAGTTTACGGTTTTTAAAAAGCAAATGTACAATACTTGTATTATACCCCAATTGCTTTTTCCTTGACTTTACAATAGTAAGATGAAATATCACTGCATTAATTAAGACTTGTTACATTATAGAAATAGTTTTATTGGCAGGAAAAAAAAAATAGAATCCAAATTCTCACAATTTTGTTGTTATTGTTTTGGTTGCTCTTCTCTTTGGCTTGAACGTTGAACCGCCTCTACGTCCTGAAGACAGGAAGCAACGGCGGCAAAAGATAAAACGATCCATACCCGCAAGTGCTAATAAAACAACAGTTCTCTCTCTTTTGTCTATTTTCAAACCTCGCAACCTCACCACTTTCGAAGCTCATCTGAACCTGAACAGGGAAAAGCTCTGCTAGGGTTTTGCTCACTCGCAAACGCACCGTTCAGTCGGGCACAAAGAACCGAACCAGACCTAGGGTTTCGAATTCCGATCCGCAACCACATTCATGGACGAGGAGCCCGAGTACGACGACCAGCAGTACAACGACGACGACGAAGATGAAATCACGCAGGAGGACGCCTGGGCCGTCATCTCAGCCTACTTCGAAGAGAAGGGTTTGGTGCGCCAACAGCTCGACTCATTCGACGAGTTCATTCAGAACACAATGCAGGAAATTGTCGATGAGTCGGCCGATATCGAGATTCGCCCCGAGTCGCAGCATAACCCGGGCCACCAGCCTGATTTTGCCGAGGTAGATTGTTCTTTGTTCAATCCTATATGAGATTGAGCTTCGTGGTTTCCATGAATTTAGGGCTAACAATTAGCGTATGAAAACTAAAATTTATAAGTATATTGCGAGCTAGGTTTCCTTCTCACATTTGTGTATTTTTAGGAAATTAAAGTAGAATTTGGAGCATATTTGGTGGTTATGTTCTTTGGCTCTTTAATGCTGTTGGGTTGGATTGCAGACTACATATAGGATTAAGTTCGGTCAGATTTATTTGAGTAAGCCCATGATGACCGAGTCTGATGGAGAAACTGCAACCTTATTTCCCAAAGCTGCAAGGTTGAGAAATCTAACGTACTCAGCACCCTTGTATGTGGATGTCTCAAAGAGCATTGTAAAGAAAGGACATGATGGTGAAGAAGTCACCGAAACTCAGGATTTCACCAAAGTATTCATTGGAAAGGTGTGTAATGTGAACAATTTAGTAATGATGTATGGATTCAACATTGTTAACAAATTCATTCAATTGCTGTATATTATCAGGTTCCTATAATGCTTCGGTCTAGTTATTGCACGTTGTACCAGAATTCCGAAAAAGATTTAACAGAGCTGGGAGAGTGTCCATATGATCAAGGTGGATATTTTATTATAAACGGGAGTGAAAAGGTTCTGATTGCCCAAGAGAAGATGAGCACCAATCATGTCTACGTGTTCAAAAAGAGGCAGCCTAACAAGTATGCCTACGTGGCGGAAGTTCGGTCTATGGCAGAGTCCCAAAACAGACCGCCCAGTACAATGTTTGTGCGGATGCTTGCTCGGACTAGTTCTAAAGGGGTAATGAATTTGATTGTGGCAATTTTGTTGTTTTGTTTATGTTGTATGTTTTATTTATATGGATTTTGTTTGCGGGCATTTATATTATTGCAGGGTTCTTCTGGACAATACATCCGTGCTACTCTTCCATACATTCGAGCTGAAATTCCTATTATTATTGTGTTCCGAGCTCTCGGGTTTGTTGCTGATAAAGACATATTAGAGCATATCTGTTATGACTTCTCTGATACTCAGATGATGGAGTTGCTTAGACCTTCTCTGGAAGAAGCATTTGTGATTCAAAATCAACAGGTGTCTCTCTCTCTGTCAATTTATTTTGCAGAGTTTACAGATGTCTCGATTCCCCTATAGTCAAATGGTATATTATTCTCTCCTGTTGCAGGTTGCACTCGACTATATTGGAAAAAGAGGTGCAACTGTTGGTGTTAGTAGAGAAAAGAGGATCAAGTATGTGTTATCTTTGTAAATTTGCAAGGTCTCATGATGTTTTGCATAACCTTCTGTAGTGCTCATGAGATTATTATCTTATGCATATGCACAGGTATGCAAAAGAGATCCTTCAAAAGGAAATGCTTCCACATGTTGGTGTTGGAGAATTTTGTGAGACAAAGAAAGCTTACTATTTTGGGTAGGTTTTACTGGTAGGACACGCATTACCATTAGGCTGGCTTCTGAATTGTGTACTGAATACATGCTGTTTCTTGTACCAGATATATCATTCACAGGCTTCTACTGTGTGCACTTGGTCGGAGGGCAGAAGATGATAGGGATCATTATGGCAACAAGAGGCTGGATCTTGCTGGTCCCTTACTGGGAGGCTTGTTTCGAATGGTTTGTTTTCTGGTGGAAATTGGGGGTTTTATGAAATTTGTTTTGTCATTATTTTGTTGACCATAGAATTGTATATGCAAGTGCAGTTATTCAGGAAGTTGACTAGGGATGTGAGAGGTTATGTGCAAAAGGTTCCTTACATGAACTCTGACTTATTTAAGTTGCTGTAATTATTATATTTGGGTTTATACTTACACAATCCATGCATGATGCAGTGTGTCGATAATGGAAAGGAACTTAACCTGCAATTTGCCATCAAAGCTAAAACAATTACTAGTGGCCTCAAATATTCACTTGCTACTG